GTTGATTGTGAGATCGATTGTGATATCGATAGTGAGATCGATCGTGAGACCGAATGTGAGATCGATTGTGAGATCGATCGTGAGATCGATAGTGAGATCGATTGTGAGATCGATAGTCAGATCGATTGTGAGATCGATCGAATGAAATAGATCGAGTGAGACCGATTGTGAGATCGATCGAGTAAGATCGATCGAGCGAGCCCGATAGTGAGATCGATAGTGAGACCGATCGAGTGAGACGTTGGTTCCTCCCCCCCGAACCTCCTTATCACCCGAAGGGTGGTCGTATAGGTATATACACATACGTATACAGACATACATATATATATATATTTATATATATAGATGGTGATGCTAAGAATGGCGAGGACATCAAGCACGCAGAGCAGGGTGAACTGAGGGCGCTCAGCCGCCCGCTCATTCTTGGGCGTGGAACGTGCCAGAAACGTGGAAGCCCTGGACGTCATGCTGGAGCAATCTCCTGTCCTCCCAATTCCCGTGCGTCTCCTGGAAACTCATAACGCGATGTTCCGGGACCAGTTTGGTGCAGAAGTATATCCAGGGCTCGTGTTGTTTCAATGAGTGTACTGGTAGACCCGAATGACCCTCTGGTGTTCCATGAGACTGCTGAAAACTTCCCTCGGATCTGAAATGACCTAGAACTGCAAGAGCTGGCGCCGGGCGACCTCAGGGAGGAAGAGGACGACGCCGAGGCCGTAGAAGAACATCTGCCTTTCCCTATCTGGCTCCACCCTGCCCTTGCACAGAATCCCGAATCCCCCGCCTGCTGGCAAGTGGCGCGAGCGCCCCGAAAAGGCATGACAAACGAGTAATCCCGGAATCGCTCTCGCACGCGCCCACGACGGCATGGCTGCAGAGGTACGTGGTGGAGCCGAAGCGGAAGGCGCAGACGGCTCCACGGAGCAGCCCGGCAAAACGGAGGTGGCGACGGCGAACCTTGACAAGGGCCCCTGGCCATCAGGACCAGGATGTTCAGCAAGTTCGCCTCCGAAAGGGCGATCTGAGGAAGGGAACGGCAGGTGGTGTTCGGTAGAGTCGAAATCAATGAAGCGGGCGCGAAACTTTAGGCTCGGCGTTGCACGTTCCTTGCTCATGGCGATGCCGCAGTGATCTGCGAATTCTTGATGGGGTCCATCTCGGGGGCTGCGCCGAGCGCCTCGTCGTGGCCCTGCAGAGCTTCCGATCTTGATGCAACTGAAGTCGAGAGAGTTCTCTGTCTTCATGTGGTCGATGAGCTGCTGTCACGGAGGGCCAGCGTAACGGCTCTTCTTCCGAACGTCGGGGCTGGCGTCCACGCGGGCTCGCAACACCTGGCGCCGCTTGTGACTGTCCGTCCAGCCGAGACCCTCGGCGCGAGCCCTGCCGAGGAACATCTGTGCGTGGAGGGCGGAGCCGAACTTGATCGAGAAGCGGAGGTTCAGGTTGTAGCGCTTGGCCTTAGCGTGGAGCCCCATGCCCTGAGGCATCTCGGCGATGATCGCTTGGGCATGCTGGTGCATGACTGATGCCAACATCTTGACGGGGAAACCTCTGGTCCATACTTCGCAGGGGTCCGGCTCACACTGGGAGGAGACCGAGGTACCCGAGGAGAAGGGCGCGGCGGTGGACCCGCCAGGAGGGGAGTGCGAACTTTCTCGGGCTTGCCTGCTGGCTGCGGGGTCGAGGGCGACCCATGAAAGAGCGAGCCGATCTCCTCAGACACTCCGTCTGGCTCGAGATCGGAAGCTCCAAAGCAACCCGCAGGCGTCGGTGAGCTCTGTCTGCGCGCCCCGGGACGACGGCGGCGCACCCATGTCGTCCTCAGCGTCGGGCGCGACGACCGTCTCCCTGCGCGGCTCGTCCCTGTGTTCGCATGTCCTGCGCGTGCCGCTGGGCCACGGGTCGGCGTTGGCGAGCGGGTCGAAGCCCGTGGAGCCCTTGGTTCCCTTGTGACGCTTGGAGCCTCTGTCGTCGTGTACTTGCGTCGGGGGGCTGTCCTGGCCGAAGGGTGACGGTTGCGGCCGGGAAGCTCCTTTGCCTTTTGCTCTGCTGGGGTCTGAACCCTATGTGCTCATCGCGGGATTTACAAGGGAGATCTTCGCGGCGAAACGAAGAGTAATAGTTAGTGCCCGCCAGCGTACGACACGCTGGATAGCTCGTGAGAGAGCTGCCCGCTCAGATGGGACCTGTCCCCCAGCCCCACTTGCGCCAACATGGCAACAAAAGCAGGAGAAAGAGGAGAAGGAGGAGGAGGAAAGGAGGAAACGGAGGAGGAGGAGGAGGAGGAGGAGGAGGAGAAGGCGGAGGAGAACGAGACGGCGAACGGTGGGGAATCCCACCATCCCTCTGGGTGTAGGTGGTCTAGAGAGTCTTGCAACCCCCTTCTTCCCCTTCGGGGAGGGGCTTACCCCTCCCCCGACCCCCTCCGCTGGACCTGGAGGGGGTTTGCGAGCGGCCAGAGCATCTAAGATGGCCCAGGACGGCTCCAAGAGGGCCTCAGAGAGCCCAAGATGACTTCCAAGACGGCCCAAGATAGCCCAAGATGCCTCAAGATGGCTCCCAGGATGCTCCAAGAAACCCCAAGACCGCTCCATGACAGCCCCAAGTGGCCACGGAGTCTGCCCTGGAGGCCGCCACGAGGCCAACATCCTTCAAAAGCCTGCGGAAAACCAATGAAGTTCGCTCTCTCGCCTTTTTCCTTTCGATGGTCTTCCGAGGCCTCGAGGTGGCTCCTAGATTGCCCAAGAGGGCCCCAAGAGAGTCCCTAGAGTGCCCCAAGACGGCACCAAGAGCGCCTAAGAGCGCCCCAAGAGCGCTCCAAGAGGGAACTTAAATGCGACTTGAGGCGATTTGTGGGGCTCCCGAGGGGCGGGCGTAATTGAAGCTCTTCTTTGATCGATCTCCTCCAAGATGGCCGCAAGAGCGCTCCCAAGGCTCCCAAGAGCGCTTCAAACGTGCCCCAAGAGGCGCCCAGGAAGCCCCACGAGGCGCCCAAGAGGCCTCCAAGAGGTTCCCAAGAGATCCCCAAGAGGCCCCAAGAAGCTCCACGAAGCACCCAAGACGCTCCAAGAGGCCACCGGGACCGCCAAGAGGCCCCCAAGACGTCCCAAGACGCCACCAAGCTCGCCATTGTCCTCCTCCTCCTGCTCTTCCTCCCCTCCCCCTCCTCTTCCTCCTCCTCCTCCTCCTCCTCCTCCTCCTCTACATCCGTCTGTTTCTCTCCCTCCCTCCTCCCTCCTCCCCCTCCTCCCCCTCCTCCACTTTATCTTCCTCCTCCTCTTCCACTTTATCTTCCTCCTCCTCCACTTCATCCTCCTCCTCCGCCTCCTCCTCCTCCTCCTCCTCCTCCTCCTCTTCCTCATCTCTCTTGTCCTTCTTCCCCGTCTTTTTCCATTCGGCAAGTCCGCGAAGGCGCAAACGGTTCGCTCCTTTAGGTCTGCGCAGGCTGATCCAAGACTTCAATTTGACGACTTCCCCAGCTCTTGATCCACTGCACGCGCCTCCGCTTCCCTGATCAAGGCAACTCGTCTGTGCATCCTTTGTGGATGGGCTGGCGGGGATACTTTTTGATCATAAGCGCACCGGGAGACGCCGGACGCCGTCCAAGAGTCGTAGCGAGCGGGCTACGAACGAATTGCGCAACAGGGCTGGTGGGGATCCTTTTTAGTCAGCGACCGCAGGCGAGAGCGCCAGCGGCGAGTCGAGTCAGAGCGGGCCGCGCAAAGACGAATTAACCTAAAGCCGATGGGCCGGAGCCTCACGCGGTACCTCGGCGGGCAGGCCGGCGAGTGGAGGGGTGCTGGCTGCGGCTGCCAGGGTAGCTGCACTGCCAGGGGTTGCACGCATGCAACGAGCTGCAGAGGGGCCGACTGCCAAGGGGGCCGACTGCCAGGGTCTGCAAGCTGCTGAATTGGATGCAAAGGGTGAGCACCCGAGGGGCTGCGAAGAACCAGGGTGGCCAGAGCATGGTGGGCCGAAGCCTCCACGAGGCGAATTGTGTGCGAGTGAATTTTCCAGCCGAAGCTGAAGCGCAGCCAAAATGGCGCGCTGGAACACCACGGTGCGACCAGGGTGAAGCACCTCAGAGAAGGCCCAAGATGCCTGCCAAAGGTCTGGCGGGTGCAGGTGGTGGCGCCAGTAAAGTCGCACACCAAAGCCCGTATAAGAGGGGCGCAGCCCGTGGTCGACCATCCAGGGCTGGCGACTGACGCGCGATCACTTTGGGGCCTTCCTGAAACCTCTTGGAGCTTTGCGGGATGTTATCTTGGGTCAACTTGGTCAATAGTGCGACAACCTGGATGTCATCATGCGCTACCCGGGGCGGGCTGACCTCTAGGGAGGGGAAGGGGGGATGGGAATAAGGGGCTTTGCGAAAGAGACACCTACGGCCGAAGACCAGGTGGGATTTGTGCCCCTTTGTGTCATCCACAACGCGACGGGGGAACATCCACGCCGAGGTCTCGAAGCCTCCCTCTCCTGCTCCTCCACCATTGTTTCATCCTTCTCGCACGCGTTCGCCTCCTCATTCTTCTTCCTCCCCATACCCCCCTCTCCTTCCGCTTCTCCTCGGTATTCACCTCTTTCTTGTCCTCCTCCTAGTCCTCCTCCTCCCCCTCCTTGGCCTCCCCGTTTTCCTTCGCCACCACCGCTTCCTCGCCCTCCGCCTCCATCCCCAGTATACTTGTCTCCTCCTCGCCCTCTTCACCTGTTCCTACTCCCTCTTCTCCCTGGCCTCGTCCTTGCACCCCTCCTCCTTCTCCTGCGCCCTCTCCCTCTCCCACTCCGCCGCCTCCTCCCCTTCCTCTCCTCCGAGGCCTTTGTGCGTTCCTCCTTCGCGTCCTCGTCTTCTTCCTCCCCTCTTCCTCTCTCCCGCGTCGGCGTTGGACATCGACAAGGCGACGACGGGGGCGCGGCGGCGGCGACGACGTCGCCTGCTCCCGCGCCACCGCGGCCCTCGCTCCAACGCCCCCTCACCCCTGCGGATGGTCTAAGCCTCTGGCCCACTCCCGCTTCTTGTCCTCTCGGGGGGGCGCCAGCCGTCATCCACTGCCGCCGATCGCCACGGGGAGGAAGGGGAGGGATGCCGGAGGCGTGTGGCGGGGTGGGTGGGTGATGAGCTGAGGGAGGAGAGGGGGGACGCGGGAGGAGGGAGGCACGGCGGGAATACACCTGGCCAAACGAGACCGTGGACGAGGAAGGCCCGTCCAAGGGCCAGAGAAAGTTCAGGAGTCTCACGGACTTCGGTCTTGCAGTCGCACAAGGCGCAACTATCATGTCACACATTTCGGTCTGCCTGGGTCTCCGCGGCCAACTGAAATTTTACCAATCAGCTGCACCCCTATCGAGACACATCCGCGTCCCCTCAAGCGGGCTTTGAGCGCAAGTTGTGTTGACGTGGCCCTGATCGCCCTGGAGAAGATCGACAACCCAAGGGACATTCGGATCCGATGTCAGATTGGGTTCCGCACCAACCCTTCCCACGGGCACGTCAAGCCTGTAACGGGAGTGTACCGTCCCGCTGATGCCCTCTGCCATGGCCGCCGCCAGTGGTGCAAACATGACCAGCCCGAGCTGTGGCTCACGCGCATCAAGGGCAAGTGGTGGATCACCGACGCGGCGGAGAAGCACGCCACCAGCTGCTGCGACTGGGTCGCCCAGCGAGGCGTCCCGTCACCCCTGGAGGTAGTCGAGCGGGAGATCGACGCGTCCACGTGCGTAAGTGTCCCCGAAGCCGCACTACCCTACCAGTCGAACTCCTGAATCTTCCACGTCAACATCTGCTGGCCACAATGTCGGCCCGCCAGGGGCCGGGGGTGCCCGGGCACACTCCTGTCACGACGGCGCGGGCGCGCGGGCTGCGGATTTCTCGTCACCGCGCGGGGCGTTCCGTCTCGACGGCGGCAAGATGACCTCAAGCATGACAGGTCTTCCATGCTGACCGCGCTCGCTCTGGAACGCGTTTGCGCTCAATTCTTCGAGGATCCCCACAGGCTGCAGTGGGCCTTCCGTCCTGAACGCCCGCGCCCGTGCTGCTGCCGTGCCCGAGGCGACACGCGTCTGCCGCGCGCGGACTGCTGGCGGCTCCCCGTCCTTGCCCCTCGGCAGGGCGGCATACTTGTCCATCAGCTCCTCCGTCTTCTGCTCGGGCGTCACGTCGTCTGTGATCGCCTGCCGTGGGGCGGCGTGGGGGGCCCACGCGGGGGAGGAGGGCCACTCACGGAGAGGGCGGGAAGAGTGCGCAGATGGGAGCAGGGCTCCGAAGGAGGAGGAGGGGGCGGAAGATGGACCCAGGAGGGGGCGGAAGGAGGAGGACGAGGCAGCGGGAGGGAGGAGAGGGGGGAGGTAGGGAGGGGAACCCCTTGCGGGTTGGGGGAGGCGTACGGCCAAGTGGTTGGACGGGCAGGCTGGGCTCAAGAAGGCGACTGGGAGAATGAGAATGACCATGTGCGGCAGGGGGCGGGGGATGAGAGAGAGGAGTAGAGGAGAAATTGATACACATATATATATATATATATATATACAGATGTACACATACCTGTACGACCACCCTTCGGGTGATAAGGAGGTTGTGTGGGGGGAGAGGGGGGGGAACCAACATCTGACTCAATCGATCTCACTATTGATCTCACTCAACGGGACACCACGGGACACCACGGGACACTTGCCGATCTCACTATCGATCTCACTATTGATCTCACTCAACGGGACACCACGGGACACCACGGGCCGCCACGGGACACCACGGGACACCGCGGGACACCTCTCGATCTCACTATCGGTCTCACTATCGATCTCACTCAACGGGATACCATAGGACACCACGGGACACCACGGGACACCACATCGATCTCACTATCGATCTCTCTATCGATCTCACTATCGATCGCACTCAACGGGACACCACGGGACACCACGGGACAACTGTCGATCTCACTATCGATCTCACTTTTTGGGACACCACGGGACACCTCGGGGCACCACATCGATCTCACTATCGACCTCACTATCGATCTCACTCAACGGGACACCACGGGACACCACGGGACACCACGGGACATCGCGGGACACCGCGAGCCACCGCCGGACGGACGGACGGACGGGCGGGCGGGGGAGAATCATTTGTCTTGCCTTCGCCCTAGCAACGGCGGACACCACGGGACACCACGGGACACCACGGGACACCGCGGGACACCGCGGGCCACCGCCGGACGGGCGGGAGGGGGAGAATCGTTTGTCTTGTCTTCGCCCTAGCAACGGCGGACAACACGGGACACCACGGGACACCACGGGACACCGCGGAACACCGCCGGAGGGGCGGGAGGGGGAGAATCATTTGTCTTGACTTCGCCCTAGCAACGGCGGACACCACGGGACACCACGGGACACCACGGGACACCGCGGGACACCGCCGGACGGGCGGGAGGGGGAGAATCATTTGTCTTGACTTCGCCCTAGCAACGGCGGACACCACGGGACACCACGGGACACCACGGGACACCGCGGGACACCGCCGGACGGGCGGGAGGGGGAGAATCATTTGTCTTGACTTCGCCCTAGCAGCGGCGGGTTCATTCCTCTCGCGCGCCCACGCAGCTTCGCCTCGCCCGCACGCACGACATGAACGAAACGAAACGATTTCCTGGCTGGGGGTCTCCGTTCCACTGCGATCTCACCTCGCAACCTCCGGTATATGTGTATTTGTACGTAACACCCCACAGATGCGGATAAGAGTGAGGGAGCGGTGGGGACGTCGACAATCTGCGAGACTCTGCACCGATTTTTTTATAACCAGTGTGGGTAGGTCGCGGGGTGGGTCGCGGGTGGGTCGCGGGGTGGGTCGTGGGTGGGTTGCAAGTGGGTCGCGGGTGGATCGCGGGTGGGTCGCAAGTGGGTCGCGGGGTGGGTCGCGGGTGCGTTGCGGGTGGGTCGCGGGTGGGTCGCTGGTGGGTCGCGGGTGGGTTGTGGGGTGGGTCGCGTGTGGGTCGCGGGGTGGGTCGCGGGTGGGTCGCGGGTTGGGTCGCGGGTGGGTCGCGGAGTGGGTCGCGGGGTGGGTCGCGGGGTGTGTCGCGGGGTGGGTCGCTGGGTGGGTCGCGGGTGGGTCGCGGGCTGGGACGACGACAACAAACAATAACAACAACATCAACAACACCACCACCAACAACAACATCAACAACAACAGCAGCAACAACACCAACAACAACAACATCAGCAACAGCAACAACAACAATAACAACAGCCACAATAACACCACCACCAACAACAACAACAATAATTGTTTTAGACTGTTCGCCCTTATATGCTCGAGTGTCCAATAACGCGTATGTCCCAAACCCTCGATATCCGCCCTCTTCGTCTTCGATCGAACCCCTTTTGGGGGGTATACCTTTCTTCCCTGCAGGCTGTGCCCCGGCAAGCGGCGGGGCGGCCGCGGACCGTCGGCCTGGCCAGCGGCAGCGCTGATCGGCGGGGCGGCCGCGGACCGTCGACCCGACCCCAAGAGGGACGGACAGGGGACCGACCACGACGACGACGACGACGGCGACGACGAGCGAAAGCGAGGGCGAGAGAGAACGACAGCAGGGCCACGAAGGGCACGAAGTAGGCCACGAAGGGCGACAGCGGGGACACGAAGGGAATGCGTATGGGGCCACGAAGAGCGCGAACGAGCGGGGGCCACGAAGTGCAGATAATGCGGGGCCACAGAAGGCAACTATGGGGCCACTGAGGGTAGCAACTGGGCCACGTAGGACAGTGAGGGGGGCACAAATGGCGACAGCGGGGCCACGAAGGGCATGCACATGGGGCCACAACGGGCGCGACTCCTGGGTACCTGGGTGTCGGGAGCGCGGCGCTTGGGGCAAATTGCAGGAAATTCCAACGCAAGGCCAATTCTTCAGTAAGTTGCAAGCAACTCTCCAACGAGAGCGCGACTCCAGAGCGCCGGGAGAGCGATTCCTGAATAAATTGTAAGGAAGTCCCAAGCGAGAACGCGATTCCACAATAAAATGCGAGAAAGTCTCGGAAGGGAGCGGGGGTTCTGGCTAAATTGTAAGGAAGTCTCTGGCGGGAGCCGTTGTTGTTGTAACCCGGGGCCAGGGGCCCAGTTTCAGCATCAAGACTTCCCGTGTCAAAAAACAGGGTGCGAGCGTCGAGGGGCACACTTTGATGGAGAAAAAGCAGTATGCACCAGTGGGGAGGATCAACAATACTGATTCTTCAAAAATGAAAATTCAACAACAACAACACCACCACCAACAACAACAACTCTAACAACTCTAACAACAACAACAACAATTACTAGCACGTGGGGACACTCCGTTCTCACCAGTGCCAGGGTTTTCATAGGAGGCGGGCAATACCCCCACTTTGTGGGGGGGCCGGTTCAAGCTCTACCAAATTTCCAAACGACTCTTCGCCACCACCCACACCCAGCTTCCCGCCCTATGACGTTCGGACACTTCACTTCGTGGCATGCGGACGACCGTGGCTACTATTCAGGGCCCCGCGGCCGACGACGACGGCGTGCGCGCGCGAAGAAAAAACGAATGTGTCCCGCATGGTATTATTTGACAGGGATGATGGCCCTGGCAGGTGCGCAACCGTTGTTGCAGAAGTTCGAAAAAGTTGCTCGCAAAAGCCCGTTTGACAGAAATGTTTAAAAAGTGTTGGGTTTCCTACGAATCCGCAAGAGCGCGCGGGATGAAATTTTGACATTTTTTTTTTGAAAAACCATTGGTTTTTTGATGTTTTTATGTTAAAATCGCTACGAAAACTAAGGTTTTGGAAGGATTTCGTCTTGCGCGCGCGAATGTCCACTTTACCTTATTTTTTGCAAGGGATTCTTGAAGTTTGGTTATGTTAGAACAAGAAATGTCCACTTTAGCTTATTTTTTGCAAGGGAAAACCGATCGTAACAACACAACCGGATCCGGACTCCCCCGTTTTGCCTGAGACTTCCTCACGAAAATGATGAAAATGAGGCTGCGGCCTAGGCGCGGCGGGGGGGTCGTGCACCAGGGGCCCCAACAATAATTATTCTTTAGAAGTAATAATGTTCAACAACAACAACAACAACAACAACAACAACAACAACAACACAACACCAACAATAACAATACCAACACTATAAACACCAAACGCAGCACTAACAACAACAAGAGCAACACCACCACCACCAACAACAACACCGACACTACCGACACCAACAACGACAAAAACAACTCCAACAACAGCAGCACCAACAACAACAGCACCAACAACAAAAACAACAACACTAACAACAACAAGAGCAACGCCAATACCAACAACAACAGCGCAACAAGCATGATCCTCACCACGGATCCCCACTTCAGCCACGCACCCAGGGACAATGAATGACCGTTCGGCCACCTCACACTGATATATATATATATATATATATATATGCTGGGATCCCTCGATGTTTCTTATTTCCTGCGCTCCTTCTCTAATTTCCTCCTAGCTCGCGGATAACTGCTTTATCTCCCTCTGTCTCTGTCACTCTATCTCTCTGTCTCTGTCTCAATATCCCCCCTTCCTTGTCCTCATTCTGACTTATGTTTGTACGTTAGTCATTCTGTCACAGGGACTAATGCCCACTGAGTTCCAAGCTCGAGAAACACTATGCTACGATCTCAACGGGCAATCATGCAACGAACATGCTTGCAGACTCTGCCGTAGGCGACCGGTCGAACAATAACGGCCGAAACAAACGGGAGACGAGACCCTGGCGAACACTCGAGCCACATGAAAATGTTGCCATCTCTCTGGGGCGCATTTTTTTCTTCCGCCGGCTTCCGCCGGCGGAACTGGCCCCGCTTTACTTCCGCCGCCTTCCGCCGACATGCCGCCGCCTTCCGCTGAGGAAGGGATGACAACTCCTTCGATCCTCGAAGGCAAGGCACTTTCTGGAGCGCCCCACATGGAGGCGGTGGGCCTCCAATGGATTTGTCAGCGCTCTTTGATAATTTCGAAGCAAACCGTACACATGTTCTAAAAAGCAATCTCCTCATCAAAACATTGCGGAAGACGTCAATGCAATTCTGCAAGCCTGGGGCAAGACGGGCAAACTCACCGCTCACCGAGGAGATGCAGGCAGTCAAACCCGGCACTATCCCCAACGGATGTCGCCAGCACGCCCTCGAGAAAAGGTACGGTGGGAAATGCGCGATGCAAAATGATTCGGGATGTAATTTCGCACTGCCTTGGGCAACCTCCCACGATGATTGCAAGCGCATTGCTCACCGTACGGACACACCCCTCAACCGGCAAACTGATGAGATGGCGCAAGCAAAGCTCATGTCAAACTTCGAAGACGATACGCAATACGAAACGATCGTGAACAAATGCGTGTCAATCGGGATTGAGCACACAGCGGGCCATTGATGACCTAGGTCTCCACGCGACGCCAGGCTTGTTCAAACCTTTCGAAGCGCCTCAAAAAACACCACTATGTACGTCACGATCGTGCGCTGGATCGCAGAGTAGGTCCAGCGAGGCCGCAAGAACAAGTAAGCTCAAATCCAAAAGCGGGAGGCCGTAGTGCAAGCGATGACAGGAATGGATACTGAACACAAGCTCGATTGTTAAATGGAATCCCGACCCCATTTGAAATTTGGCAAACGTGTATCCAACAACATGGTTACGTTGTGAATGCTCGAAACTTGGTTGTCGGGAGCCTTCCAAATGCGAACGTGCAGCCATCGAAGCCGGCTGCAAAGGCAAAGGCAAAGGATACTTCCAATGGCAAGCGGAATACAAACAACGCAGCACATCTGCAAGGACCCAAACCAAAGCCAAGGGCAACACTATGGGCAAAGTGAGTAGCAACGGCACGGGGAACGGCGAGGAGAGTGAGAACGCAACAAGCACAGGCAAAACTCAGGACGAGACCGGAAAGGGACCATCTGCTGAATGGGGGCGGAAAAGGACCAACCGATGGCAAAGAGAAATGAAAGGAAGCGAGTGCATCACGATCGCTCACTGGCGGCCGCTGTGCATAGATGATTAATGCGTCTTGTCACTCCGCGGCCTTCGGTTCCTTCTCGGTGAGCCCACAACCTCGCCCACCAGCGCCTCTGCCAAAACGACATCCTACGATCAAATCCCATGGCCTGTGCTATGGTTGCTGGGCCGGCGCTCCAGCAAGAAAGAGCGCCAACAGCGTCCCGATCCCCCTGCTCCTCCCTCCTCCGCTCTCCTCCCTCCTCACCTGCTCCTTCATGCCCCTGACGCCCTCCTCCTCCTCCTCCTCCTCCTCCTCTCTCTTCTCGACTCAACGCTCCCAACCCCCTGCTCCTTTCTCCCTCCTCTTCGGTATGCTTCTCCGCCTTACTCCTCTTCCCACTCCTCCTCCTCCCCCTCCTCCTCCTCCTCCTCCTCCTCCTCTTGCCCTTTCCTCCCTATCTCTCCGCGGCGGCGAAAGCAGATGACGGCGCAGTCGCCATGAGGACCCTGAAGGCAGAGCCCATGTTCTGGAGCCGTTGTATTTTTTCAGGGGAGGCGCACTTCTAAAGACTCTGCGCATCGAAGCACATGGGCACACACACACACACGCAAGGAGGCTGGACGCATACAGCATATACTCGAATGCAAAACACGGGGAGGCCACGCGCAAGATACACACGCGGAGGCATATGTGCCCAAGCGCGTGCGTACGTATCCACGTCCTGCCAAGGCGGGCCACGGCATGTGCGTCGAGCTTCCGTGTGCGTAGGCGTACAGGGGAGTAAAATTTCGCCGGCCCAACGGGCCAGAGGCGTGCTAAGATCTCCGGTAACTTGTTAACAATATTTCTAGTTCGCGCGCGCGGAGCGGCCCCTGGGGGCCCCCGGACGAAAAGTACCCCGGCAAGGTCCCGAGAGAAGCCCGGGAGAAGCCACCAGACCACTCCAGGGGAGGGTATTTTTCGACACCCCTCACGAGGATCGTGGCCTCCGAGGGGGGAGCCGCAATCGACTACCCCCAAGAGCCCCCCAAGAGGCCCTGGGGGCCTCCAAAACGCCGCCAAGGAGCCCCAAGAGACTCCCAAGAGGTCCCCAAGAGGCCCCCAAGAGGCCCTAAAGAGGGCTCCAGGGCCGGCGGCATGAGCGAAGCGATTAAATAAGATCGTACACGTGCCTCTACTCTTCAGCAGGCCCAAGGGCTCTCATAAGCTTCAAGACAGAAGTCCCGATATGTGGTTTTGTTCGGAGGAGGCTGATCCACGTTGCGGCAATGCTGCAACAACTCCTCGAACTCTGGCAGACCTACGAGCCAAATATTGCAAACATATGCACGGGAGGGACCCGGTATGTATATTCAACTGCCATGTACATGAGTTCAAAGCACTTACACGTCGGCAAATCCGCAATCGTGCCGATTGTACACTGAAACGCATTCAAATGTTTGTTCGCTGCCTGGCACGGGTTCCGTGATCTTTCCAGCAGCACCTGCCAGGCACAATCTTCAGAACATCGACCTCCTGCTCTTTGCTTTCCGACGCTCCTTACTCTCAATGAGACCCAAGGAAGGCCCACGACCGCCCCTTCGGACGCCGCGTGTTTCACGCCATTCTGACTCTTAAGCTTTTCGGCCAAACATGTATTCAGGAAGGCTTCATGGGGGCCCCAAGGTGGCCCCAAATGATGCCTCAAGACGACCCTAGATCGCCCGAGGGGGGCTCCAATATGCTTCTGGGACTCCCAAGACGACCCAAGATCGCCACAGAAGGCTCCAAGCCAAGATTGCGCCTTCCAATTCCCCTGCCGCACTCTCTGGACATTGGAGGCCTGGAACGGTAAGAATCATATTCAATGCTACCCGCCACCGTGCTCAAGAGGCCCCCCAAGATCGCCACAAAAGGCCACCGAGACGGCCCCAATACGGCCCAAGAGAGCCTCGAGACTGCCCAGGAGGCCCCTAAGACCAACGAGAAGGCCTCCAAAAGGGCCCCAAGAGGGGGAACGCGACGGGGCAGTGAGAGTCCTTTCCCCAAATACCGAAGGTCACAATCTACTTCACTTCCAAGCATGAGGAATCCAATACGATGCACGGACACTTGCCGATCACGTCATGTTGCCAAACTAGAGGCCTCCTGGATGGGGTCGGAGTAGATGGGGTCGGAGGATCGCGCTGCATCGCCGATACATCGGCGATGCATCGGCGATGCATCGGTGCTGCACCGGCGATGCATGGTCGACGTCGACGATGCATCGGCGACGTCCACGTGAAGTAAATTGGGCCCCACATCGAGCCGTATCGTCGATGCAGCGGCGATGCGGCGCGATCCTCCGACCCCGTCTACTACGACCCCATCTAGGAGGCCTAGACAAACAAGTGTGCACGCCTTCCACTCTTCTGCGCACGCGTTGTAGTTGCCGGGCTGGCCGCAGCGCATCTTGGCCTGCCTCTTGGAGCCTGGACTCGGCTCGCTCTGCAGCAATGCTAACATCTCCACTGGGATACCGCAAGGCCTTTTTTGACCGCGAGGCCCACAGGCTGTCCCTGCCAATCCTCCTCCTCCTCCTCCTCCTCCTCCTCCTCCTCCTCCTCCTCCTGCCCCTCCTCCCCCCCCCTCCTCCTCCTCCTCCTCCTCCTCCTCCTCCTCCTCCTCCTCCTCCTTCTCCTGCTCCTCCTCCTTCTCCTCCTGCTCCTCCCTCCTCCTCCTCCTCCTCCTCCTCCTCCCCCCTCCTCCCCCCTCCTCCCCTCCTCCCCTCCTCCTCTTTCTCCTCCTCCTCCTCCTCCTCTCCTCCTCTCCAACTCCAACTCCTCCTCCTCCTCCTCCTCCTCCTCCTCCTCCTCCTCCTCCTCCTCCTCTCTTCCGCCTCCCTCTCCGTCCTCCTCCTCCCCCTCCCTGGAACTCTCCCTCAAGCACGCACGACCCAGTCCGCCCTTCCTTCCCTCCACTGGGTGGATGGACACTCCAGTGGACGGTGGCTCACGAGGGAGCGGGATGGGTGGATGCAAAAAGGAAGACTGGGGCTGGGTTGAAGTGGGACGGGGCGGCGTGGCGGGAGACAGGTTCCGGGGTGGGCAGACGGAGCAGCAGTTGGGGCGAGGAGAGCTGGGGGGGGGGGGGGCAAGGAGAGTGCTGTGAGTACGTGGCGCACGGTTGGTCCCAGATCTCACGAATCCGCCTCCGCATGCACTGGGACACACTGTAACATCTGCGACAGCGATGACAGCCGACGGTGGGGTGGGCCCGACTCACAACACCAGTAGCTACGACATTGCTGCAACGGCACCGCTGCGGCTGTCGCGACATGGCCGGACCAGAAGAACGACCACTCAGATTGCGAGTGATTGGGTCGGCCTGGTGCAGCGGGAGCGGTCAATGTGAAACGAAGACAACGCGGGCGACAAATGCACAGGAGGTGTGAACCATTGCGACAGTGATAGCCGCAAGGAGTGCAGCAGTCGAGAGCCTGGCATCGGGGCGGTCTTCTGGCGCGCCATAGGCGCCTGCGCCTGCTTGGCAGACATCCCAGCCGCACCTTAAGATATCTTTATAGCAAGACAGCAAATTTCAGCCAGCGGGGACCCCAAACAATGGTGTCGTGCAATCTGTGCGGTGCAATCTTTTGCAAAGCAGTGAAACGCAATGCAAAGCAGCGCACAGCACTGCACAGCACAGCAGTGTAATGCGATTCAAAACAATGCAAAACAATACAAAGCAATGTAACACACTGCAGAACACTGCAAACCATGCAACACAATGCAAAACAATGCAAAGTGCGAACCTCGCACAATCAAAATCGTGACCAACATGGTGCGGCGACGGACGGCGGCGACGGGCGGCCACAAGCTGGCCAGACTGGCGCACAGTCCCAGTTGCGGGCCTCGCGCAATCAAGAGATGTGACCACAGCGGTGCGGCGATGGGCGGCGGCGGCGACGGGCGGCTCCAGAAAGGCAGAACGGGCAACCAGGCCAATGTCATCATGAGCCACGTAGGGAGCCCTAAGTGTAAGCACTGTCTCGGGAACATGGAAACGCATGCCGAACACATACAACACTTCGGATTCCCTGACTATCAAAAACTTGTAAGAGGTATACGTGCTCTCACCGCACCAACCCTCACACCCTCTGGGCGCAATCGACCACGCGTTTTTTTGTGCCTGTTTTGCAATTTCTGCGAGTAACTACTAACGGTCTATCGCCATTCGGGCAAAACCGCTGCAATCGACAATTGTGTGGCGAATTTGGTTGGTGGTCGTCGCCCAGAGAGTTCCGTGGAAACTGCAAGAGCACGCGCACACATACTTAGCCTCCGCAGCTAAACACTCACACCGCTTGACCTTCACTGCAGCGGAGGCAGGGGGTATGTAATTGGATCGAGGCGTCAACTTCAGTCTCGCCCCTCGCCCCTCGCCTCTCTCCCTGCCTCTCGCGGAGCTCCCCGCGCCGCTCTGCCCTCGCTCCCTCCCTCCCTTCTCCCTCCTCCTTGCCCAGACTCGTCCCGCACGGTCACCCCACACGAATCTCCCTGTGTAATTCTGCATGTTGCTAATGTTTCCCCCCTCTCCCCGTTTGGCGGTGCTCCTCCAGGCGGAGGAGGAGGAGGAGGAGGAGGAGGAGGAGGAGGAGGAGGAGGAGGGGGATGAGGAGGAGGAGGAGCAGGAGTAGGAGGCGGAGGCGGAGGAGGAGGAGGAGGAAGAGGAGGAGGAGGAGGAGGAGGAGGGGGAGGAGGAGGTTTCGCCTGGTGGCCGTCCGTGGGTGGGCGCCTCTAAGGGCGCCCGTGGGCGGCTGCATGGCTTTCACCAGAGAGCCCCTGCACCACACTGCTTGCAGCACAGAGTTTGCATCACAGACGTTGCACCGCACAACTTGCACCCCCTCCGCTGGCGTCACACAGCTCTCACCGCGGGACTTTCGCGGCATAGCTTCCACGAACATCATATCGCTCAAAATACCCGGCACGTTCAATACAATAACGTGCCTCATTGCTCGGGGCCTCAATCCATCCTGGGTTTTCTACTGGCTATTGGACATGCTTTTCAAGAGGCCCAAAGCCAGGACACTTCTGGGCGCTCCTGGGCACTTCTTCAACTGATCGCGTGATTTTTTGAAAGGCCTCGGGCGCGTGGTTGGGATCCCGTAGCTCCGCCATGGCCCAAGATGGCCGCCATGGCCAGTCTTGGGGCCTCGTGGGCGCCTGTTGGGTCGTTCTGGAGGCTCTGGGAGCCGTCCCGCGAGGCCAACCTTCATGGATCAACAAGAAGTTCAGCAATGATGTTCGCTGTCCCGCCTTTCTGTTCTGAAGGGCGCCTACGGCGGCCCAACACGCCGTACATATCGCCCCAGGTCGGCCTCCAAGCACCCAAGAGGGGCCCAAGATGCACCTACTGGGCCTCAAGAGAAGCCCAAGAAAAGGAACTCGCACTGTCATTTTGAGCCCTCCGCCCCAAGCTGGCCTCCGAGACCGCCAGGATGCCCCAAGCGGCTTCCAGGAGCCCCAAGGAGGCCCCAAACAGGCATCCGAGACGCCTCCACGAGGCCTCCCAAGAGAAATCTGAGAGGCATCTTGTGCGCAACCAGACACATTGGGAGCTTGGGCCGACGACAACTTTGGTTGAATGCGTACGCGCAGTCTGTATCCGCCACCGTGCCACTGGGCACAGAGTGGGCGTGTCCTCAGGTCCTTTGCCCAATCTCCTGAGCCTCAGTCCTCACTCTTGAAGCGTCTTTAAGGGAACTGGAGCCCAAGTTCTCAAATCCTCTTGGGCTTCCCGCGGCTCCCCTGGGGCTTGCCGCGTCTTGTCGCGGGGCCGCCATAACGGTTCAAGAGGGCCCCGAGTCGCTGAAAGATCGCCCCAAGACGTCCAAGATGGCCCCCAGACGGCCCAAGAGGCCGCCCAGACGCCCCAAGAGGCTTCCAAGAGGCATCCCAGGAGGGCCAGGGGCCCGAGAAGCCAACGTCGTTGATTTTCCATAGGTTTTTGATGTATTTTGGCCTTCTCGCCTTTTCGGCTTTCCGGCGCTCCAGGGCGGCCCAAGAGCCACCAAGACCCCGCAAGAAAGCCCAAGAGGCCTCCAAGAGGGTCCCAAGACGGACCACGAGGGCCCCAAGACGGCCGAAGAGGCGCCCAAGACGGCCCAAAAGGGCTCCAAAACGGCCCCAAGAGGGACCCAAGAAGGGCACCCAGAACCGAAAATTCAAGCCTTCCGCTCCAAGAGGCCCCAGGGAGGCCCCCAAGAGGCTCCAAGATGCCCCAAGAGGCCACAAGGGGCCCGCAAGAGGTCCCCAAGAAACACCAAAAGGCCCCCGAGAGGCCCCAAATAGCCCCCAAAACTGCCGCCAAGAGGCAACGAACATGCGTCCCAGAGCTCCCCGAAAGGCGAACCACGAGATCCCAACCAACATCCATGAGGACTCTGACCCACCACCCAGGCACGGTGGCGGGATAGTCCAGAGGCCATTCTATATACATGTATATATATATATACACGTGTATGTGTCTGTCGGTCGGTCGGTCGGTCTGTCGGCCTGTCCGTCTGTCTGTCTGTCTGTCTGTCTGTCTGTCTGTCTGTCTGTCCGTCTGTCTGTCTTTATGTCTATGCATGTGCATGCGTACATGTATCTGTCTGTGTATACGTATAGGATACGTGTAGGTGTACATAACGATATGCGTGTACCGGTACATACATGCATACATACATGTATGGATGCATGCATACCATAGGTATGTACGTGCATGTGTGTATGTATGCATGTATGTATATCTGTAGGCATGTAGGCATGCCTGTATGCACATCTAGGGGGAATCTGTATAGTCATACATGTATGGATGTAAGGAGCTGGAGGTATGTGTACATACGGGTGTGCAACTGTATGCATGTATGTGTACATACATACATGCATATACGTTTGGTTAACGTATGTATATCTGCAAATGTGCATACAGGTGCATGCGTTTACGTACATCGATATATACATGTATGCATGTATGCATGTATGCATACATGTATGCATGGATGCATGCTTGTATGTATGCATGTACGCATATATGTATACATGCATGCCTGCATGTATGTATGCATGTGGGAATGCATGGGTATTTATATATACATGTATGTGTGTGTGTGTGTGTGTGTGTGTATCGGTATGCATGTCTGCACATATATATACATAGTCATGTGTGTATGTATGCACGTATGGTTGCATGCACATGTGCATGCATGCATGTATGTGTAGGTAGGTAGGTGTCTAAGTATGTACATGTGTGTATGTCTGCATGCAGCGTTCGGATCGGATCCCCAGTCCGCGGAGGGGAGTCGCCATTCTGGGTGCGTCATCGAGCCGACCGATGCTACGCTCCGACATCGGCAGGCAGCACCAAATCGATCGAGAACCATGAACAGTCAAGTCATGCCCTCCTCCAGCTCCTACAATCCTCCTCCTCTGGTTTCTCTACGCGCTCCGTTATTTGCAAAATTGGGCAACACATTTTGTCGGAGCGTCGTAACTCGCAGTGCCGGTTGCGTGACACGAGTCCCGCCTTGCAATTGGGCTGCGCGAGCAGCCATCCAAAACCTACCCCGGCCTCTAGAGCCGATGCATGGCCACAACAACTCGGGGTCAAGAACATGAACCGAAGAAACAGGGCCCCATGGAGATGCCCCAAAAGAAGAGCACTCTCTCCAAGGTGGAGAGCCCCAGACACGACGACCGCAACGACACCCCCCAGCTCTGAAGCTGCTCGCATCCCGCGTGTCAGCTGGCGCTCCCTTTGCTCATTTGGCTTTAGGTCAGGCATGCCCCCCTACAGGCGGATTTTGGACGAAACGTCAAAAATACCCCCAGCATGCCCCCCAAATATAACAATTGTCGAGACATCGCCCCCAGACGATTTTTTGACTATTTGTGAAGATCCCCCTGTAGAGGGACAGGCGCGACTCAAATCTGGCTGTCCGCCCCCCCTCGGCGTCGGCGTCCGCGCGAGGCACGAGCACCCAGGGCACCCACGAGGCCCCCCCCGCGCCGGGAGGACCACCGCCTGGCGTTGAGTCGGGCCTGTCCCCCTACAGGGGGACTGGTCAAAAATAGTCAAAACATAGTCTGGGGACGATGTCTTGCCCATTTCTGAATATTTAGGGGGCATGCTTGGGGTATCTTTATATTTCTTTCGCCCAGCATCCGCCTGCAGGGGGACAGTGCCCGACCGAAGCGTGGCGGCCTCTGGCGGGCCTTCGGCGGGCTGCCTGCGGCCGTCCGGCGGCCTGCGGCGGCCCCGCGGCGCACGCCCAGGGGCCGGGCCTTTGGCGGGCCCGCCCTCCACCAGCTGCGCCCTCTCCTCCGCCTTGGCGAGCTTCTCGTCGTACTCCCTCCTCGCCTCTGGGTCTGACAGCACCTGCGCGGCCCTGCCCCTCAGCTCAACCCCTCCTCCTCCCCCCCCTCCCCCTCCTCCCCCTCTCGGCCCAGGCCCCCTCCGGGCCTTTCGAGCCAGCGCCACCGGAGCCCCCCGCGCCGCCTCCCCCCCCCCGCCCTGTCCTCCCCATGCCGCCGCCATGGTACGTGGCGCGCGCTGCTGATGGACGGCCTGCCCGGCCACACCGGTCCGCGGCGGAGCGCCGCGCCCAGGCCGATCGGGCCCAGGCGCGCGCCGCCCAGGCACTGTTGTGGGCCTTTCGGGGCCTTCAGCACCGCGGCTGCCGCGCGACGCGGTTCGGCGCCGCCTTGGTCGCGGCGCTCGGCGACGAGTTCGCCGGGGCGCCTCGCGATGCTGCTGTTCTCCCTGGTCCGGATGGCCCTGTGGGTCGTTATTGCGCTGATGGTCGTGAAGCTTCTGATCCAGCTCATCTTGGCGACGCCGCTCAACTTCCCCACAGGGGCAAGGACAAGAGCCCCAGCAAGGGCAAGGACAAGAACCTCGACAAGAGCGACAAGAAGAAGGGCACCATGGCGGAGAAGATCCCTGGTCTCCGGCAGCTCGTCCTGCTGCTGCTGCTTCTGCTCCTCCTCCCGATCCTGCACGCGAAATGGCGGCGCCAGCAATTGAGTGCCGCGCTTGTGTCCGTGCGCGCCGGTTCGGCGCCCTGCATTGCAGAGACCATGGGCCGCTGGGACGGCCGTCTCCTTTCTGAGGTTGGGCTTTCTGGCAAGTCGGTTGGTGGGGTAGCCCTGTGCCGCTTAGCGGTGCAGGGTCTCTCCTCTAACCTTCGTTGCTGGAAGGTTCAGCCTTGTCCGCTCGAAGTGTCCAATCCAATCCTCCTCCTCCTCCGTCTCCCCCTCCTTCTCCTCCTCCTCCTCCTCCTCCTCCTCCTCCTCCTCCTCCTCCAAGTTTTGGCCACGACCCTCGAGGATCGAAGTTCTTGGAGCATTGTTAAAACGATGTTGGTGCATCTGGAGGTCAGGATCCTGAGCGGAAGCAAAACCTACCACACCCTCTCCTCCGTGTCCTCAACCTCGTCCTTCTCCTCCTCTTCATCCTCGTCCGCAGACGCCTATTTCGGCACACCCCTCGCACGCTTCGTGGCTCCATAGGGAGCTCCACCGAAGGCCCCAGTGGCACCGCCCGCATGCGTCTCCACCACCCATTGCGGCATGCCACTCACGCGTTTCGTGGCCCACCAAGAGTGGCACCCACAACGCGTTACTCACAACTGCACCTGGCTGGGTCTCTCGGCAGGATAATTTCTGGAGAGGCCTCGGAAAGGCCAAGGCGAAGAAGTACTGGGCTGCACGATGGCATGGTACAGCTTCACAAGCCACGAGGCAAGCGACCTCCGCCTGGGCACCGCAACCTGACGATCAAGGCTTCGGCTCGACGCGTACGCGCAGCTGACGCTTCGAAGGTGGCCGACTGGAAGGGCATCTTCGGGCGGGCGTTGGACATCGAGGGCCAGCCCGCCTCCCATCCTGAGCCTGGGGCTGAAGACGATGGCGGTGTTGGATCATGGGACCCCTCATATTGCCAAGCCAGCACCTGCTGACCATGCCGATGACAATCTGTTCCTGGACATGACGGTTGACGACCACGGAGTGCCTCCACCAGGACCCGCACACCTGGGAGCAGCACCACCTCACGATAGCGTGCCCTCCTACGGACCAGTACTACGACGATGGAGGCACATCGACTGGGGTGCCAAGGCAGCCGAGTTGAGACCGACGCCCTACTCCTGAGCATCTTCTCAGGGTGGAGGGCTCAGGGTGAAATCCACATGGGCTCTTGCACCTCGAAAACCAATCCGTCTTGTGATTCACCTTTCGCAGATTCAAATCTCGAACATCCATCGAAACGGCATTTCAGATTTCACCCTTTGTCCTCCACCCAAAGAAAATGCTCGGGTTACTCGCAACTCATGATCGGGGGCCCGGCCCACATTCCGCAATCGGAGGAGCACGTGGCTCCCGGGCCATCGCGGCCGCCGTCTGCGGAGCAGCCGCGGGCAGGACTCGAAGGGGAGGCGACGCCCCAACTTCCAGTTGGCGATGGCGGCGATCCTCCAATGCCAGAATATCAAGATCCAGAACCGGATGAAGTACCGTGCCACTTCGAGTGTGAGGACACGCCATACAGTCACTGGGCTGACCTTATGAATGAGACATCAGGAACGAATCCCCGTTCTTCCAAGGAGTAGCGCATAAGGAACGACACATATTGAATAATGCGTAAGGAACGATAAATGACGCATGCGAATCTAAGAAACGACCGAGCCCCTTTTGAAAAAGAAGTGTTCCTTATTCAAGCCGCTCGCTGCAGCTTCCCGCCAACCCTGGGGCGGGAGGTACAGATCGAGGTGACGGAGGAGGTCCTGGTCGGGAGGAGCCCGAGATCCCCTTCGAAGACCCCCGCCGATCGACCCCGAGTACGGCCAGACCGACGAGGACGAGGCACCGCTCCACGACGGCGTGGATGCTCAGCCCTGCGATGATGAGGCATCCCCGATGGCGAGGAGCTTACAATTCGTACAAGGAGGCTGGTGGTGCCACGACGTCAGCGATCAGTTCGACTTGATTCTTGATGAAGCCGGACATCAATATTCTGATATCCATGCTCCTCTTCCTTTTAACCTCGTGAGATGCTCTGGTACCAGGCTGCGCCGTGCCAACGTGTGGGGTCGGGTTGACCAGCACAGCATTCTCGGCTGACAGGAAGGAGGAGCTGACGTAGCCCACGTGAAGTGTTCCTGCCATCTCCTTCCCTCCTCCCCTGCCTTACCTGGCCGCCTTCCGCTGCCGTTTTGGCCCTGTCCGATCGGCCTACAGGGCTCTTGACCGGTCCCGTCCCTCAGCGAGAGGCTCAGGCAGCACGACAGAAGCGAGCCTGCTCCCGCCTGGCGCCGCGCGCTGGACAAAGACATCATCTTCGATTGCATTCGAGATTCCTCTCCGCTGGCAGCCAGGCGAGACGGCCCTGCGACCCCTTCCGATGGCCCCAATAACTCCAGACAGATCCAGGATCCCCCAAAGTCACACAACAGTCTTCCGAATATGCCCCCAAGGAGGAGCTCCAGGCCTCCCGTTGATGGGTGCGCGCGGCGCACCTCCTCCGTCTCCTCTGTCCTCGTTCTCCTTACACGCCTCCTCCTCCTCCTCCTCCTCCTTCTGTTTCTCTTCGTCCAACTGTGATCACCTTCCTCGTCCTTGTTCTCATGCTCATCCTCAATCGCGTTCGTCGAATCCCGATCCACATCCTCTTCATTATCCAGAGCTTGATCCCCATCCCCGTCACCATCCTCGTGTTCATCCAAATCCTCGTCCTGTCCCCCTGCCCCTTTCACATATGTTCCTCCTTCCTCCCGACGACAACTCGCTCAATAACCGTTTCTGTGTGCGCAGCTGTGCGATGTGAGTGGTGTACACACGCCGCGTCTATATGCAGTGCCGGCATGGCACCACACATTGCGTATAATATCTGGTGTTTTGGCGAGTGCACCACTTCACTTGCGTAAGTCCGTGAGAGATAGGAAGCTCTACTCCTCTCCGAGGGCGCGCCGCTGGATGCCTCAAACGGGGGGGGAGGGGTTCGGACCACCCCCCCTTCCCGTGTCCGTCGTCGGGGAAGCCCCCCCCCTTCCCAGTCCGTCGTCGGGGAGTCGCCCCCCTCCACAATTCCCCGGTCCGTCGTCGACGAACCCCTCCCCCCTTGAAAAGCCTTCCCCCCCCTCCGCCCCTTTGAACTCAAGATTCGGACCCCCCCCTCTTGCCCCCCTTTCGCCACGCCGCCTACTGGTTCTACCAAAACCCGACCACTACCAACCGCAACCCTAATCCGTAATCCCGGCCGTCACCCCTGACCCTAATCCTAACCCGACCGCTACACACTACCCACTACTCACCACTTACTATTCGCTACCCACTACTCACTACTCACTAGTCACTACACACTACTCACTGCGCGCTACTCACAACTCACTACTCCCTATTCCCTACTCGCTGCTCACTACCCAATACTCTCTATACCCTACCCACTACCCGCAACTCGCTACTTTCTGCTCACGACTCGCGACTCACTTCTCGCAGGCCACAACTCACAACTCACTACTCTCGACTCACTGCTGACTACTCACTGCGCGGCACTCACTATTCGCTGTTCCCCACTACCAACTATTCACTACTCACGACTTACTACTCACTATTCAGTTCTCGCTACTCACTACTGCGTACTCTACTTAATGCTCACTACCCGATAATCACCACCCACTTCCCACTACCCACCACTCACTACTCCCTACAACTCATCACTCACTGCTCACTACGCCATATATCGACTAGTCACTACTCCCTAACAGTTAGTCGCTACTCACGACTTACTACCCCTTCCCCCCTACTCGCCACTCATCACCCTCTACTCACTACTCATTATTCATTGCTCACTACTCGCTAGGCACTACCCACCATTCACTGCTCAATACTCACTACTCACTACTCCGTACCCACTACTCATTACTCACTACATCCTACTCACGACTCACTACTCACTACGCACGATTCACTACTCACGAATCCCTACCCAATACTCGCTACGCGCTACTCTCTACTCACTACTCACTACCCAATACTCACTACCCACTACTCACTACTAAATACCAACTAGTCGCTGCTCGCTACTCATTGCACACTACACACTACTAACTACTCACGAATCACTACTCACTGCGCACTACCCACTCTCACTACTCACTACTCACTACTCACCTCCCGCTGCCCACTAGCCACTACCTGCTACTAACTACTTACCACTCACTACCCACTGCTCACTACTCAATACTCAATGCTCACTACCCAGTACATACTACCAACTACTGACCACTCACTACGCACCACACTCTACTCGGTACTCGCTACTCACTAGTCACTACCCACTAATCCCTACTCACTACTCGCAAATCCCTACCCTCGATCACTACTCACCACTCACTACCCACTACTCATCACGCAGTACTCACTACTCACAAAGCATTACTCACTACTCGCTACTCCCTTCGCCCTACTCGCTACTCACTAAGCCCTACTCACCACTCACTACTTACTATCCACAATCCTAATCGAGAGATCCGGAGGCCGGACCCCCCTCCCCCCTTGCGGGAGAGGCGCTTTCCCTGGCCCCCTGTCCGTCGCAATGGGAGAGGGGGGGCTCCGAAATCGCCCCCCCCCCCCCCCCCCCCCCCTTGTCCACCGCAAAGGGAGGGAGGGAGGGGGGGGGGGGTCTGGAACCCTCCCCCTGTCAAAGGGGTGCGGGGGGTCCGCCCCCCCCTCCCTTCAGGGAGGGGGGGGGGGGGGGGGTCCGAACATCTCACCCTCCTTTTGAAGGGAGGGGGAATGGGGGGTTCTGCGAGCACGCCCCCCGTTTGTCAATTACCGGGGCACCCAGTGGCGCGCTTTCCTACTCTCCTGCTGCTGCCAGTGATTCCAATCCTGTTGATTCCCCGCCTCTGTTGTTCATCCTAAATCTCGTCATCTTCGACCTCCTCCTCCTCCTGCCCTGTGTCCGTCCGAATCGTCCAGGCTTCTTGTCCAGTGGTGGTGACGGTGTGTTGACAAGCGTGGCAACGCCAGCAACCCCCTAGATGCTCAAGTTCATGGGCGCTGGGCGACATCTGGATTTCAGCATGGCCTGCACAAGGCTCGTGGGCTCTGAAGCAGGAGCGTTCCCACCAGCTGCGTACTCAAGACAACCTCGGACCAGAACACGTTTGTGTGGTCCGAAACGTCGCCAGAGTACCCTGCGACGTGCCCAACTCATGTGCATCCCATGTCCAGAACACCTGGCCCAAACTAACTAGTGGGGATAGCGACAGTGCGATAACCGCTATATACTGGGCGCGCTGCGTGAGATGCGCGCTTGTCGCACGAGCAAACAACAAACTATATTAAAACCGTCTTTTCTTCTATTTTCTCTATGGCGTTCCCACCGCTCGGGTCCTCCAGTGCCAACGTTGGTGGAGGGCTCGCCTCGGGGCCAGCGGCCCCGCTGGCCGGCCATTGCGGTCGATGGCCCCCTTCAGGGAAGTGTCCTGCACGCCCGTCGGCGGACTCGACACTTTTCTTGCCACCGTCCGATCGATGTGCCGCCAAAGGGCGACGGCCGCCAAGGGCGCGGACGCCAGATCGACGACCACGAAAGGCCCCCCCAAACCACGCTTAGCCCCGCTGGCCAGAGGCCAGCGCCGCTTGGCGCCTCTCAGGTTCCACGCGGGTCGGGGGCGAGCTGGGCAATCGCTGAGATGGCCGACGTGCGACGCAGAACGCCAAGTAGGTTTTTTTTTCCGCGACATCGCGTTTTGATCCTTGCCCTCGGATGGTCGGGGCCTGCGGGAGAGATGCGAGCTGGGGCACGTTCGGCTGCTGTTGGGAAGAATCGTATATGCACTGATGCGTGTGTAACTATACACCCACAAAAGAATTAATCACAACAAGAACGTTGGCGTACGTCCGCCACCGTGCCTTCAGCACACCGTGGAGTGCCCAAGGGCTCGTCTTGAAATCTCGGAGGGCACTGGCGTGCGCGCTGCCAAATTCCATGACCTATGGCATTCCGCACCGCGTGGCTCCAGGTGGGTGAACTCGACTGGCACCGCATGACTCTGGGCGTACGGACGCAGAACGCCAAGTAGGTTGATTTGTCTCGACGTGGGCCTGACAAAGAACGAACACATTTTACATACTATGCGTTTTTTTGTCCCTCGTGGCCCACTGGACAACAGGTAGGAGGACGAGGAGTGAGGCCGACACGTCAGAGCGGCAACGGCAACGAGGGAGGAGGGATGAGAAAGAAATCGACGAGTTTTATCAAGTGGCCCGATGATGAGCAGCGGTGCCGACGCTATGCCGTTCTTGCGCCCCGATGGAACAGCTGTTAACAGCTAGGGCAAGAAAAGAGCGAAGGTTATCGCGCCCGCCAGCCTGTCCGGTTCCTCCCTGCACATCTACAACGCGGGAACTAAACGCCCGCAGGCGCGCCGCTATGTCTGCGGGCGGCCTGCGGGAAAGGACATCGAGACCGCGGTAACGCATCATCAACATGTTCTTAACCTGAATAGCCCTGGAGAGCATGGCGTAGAGATACAGCGAGAGGCCGTCCAGAGACGGCTTCGCAGCTCGCAACGCCCAGCGACGGCGAGGTGCCATTTGATCTGGATACGACGCCACTGTGCTGGACCTCCCAAAACCCCACGAACGTGTCGACACTTTTGCAGTGTACAGCCTCCCGCGACGGCGAGGTACCACCTGATCTCAGAATATGGCGTCGTTTCGCTGGACCTCCCTGAGGCCCTGGATGTGGGCGACATTTTTGAAGCTCGCAACCTCCAATGACGGCGAGGTCTCACCTGATCTGAATAGGGCGTCGCTCCGCTGGACCTCTTGGCGGCCGGCCGAAGCGCCGACAGCTTCGCAGCTCGAAGCCCCCTGCGACGGCGAGGTACCACCTGATCAGAATGGGTCGTCGCTCCGCTGGAACTCCCGGAAGCCCACCAAAGTGCCGACAGCTTCGCAGCTCTCAGCCCCCAGCGACGGCGAGGTCCCATCTTATCAGAATAGGACGTCCGTCCGCAGTTGACGTCGCCCCGCTGGACCTCGCAACGGCCGACGAACGTGCCGATAATGTTGCAGTTCGAGGTCTCACTTGATCTGAATAGGACGTCGCTCCGCTGGATCTCCCAGGAGCCTTCGACATTTGCGACCGTTTCGCAATTCGCAGCTCCCGGCGACGGCGAAGGCTCATTAGATCTGACTAGGACGTCACTCTGGTGCACCTCCCAGAAGCCCACGAACATGTCGACACTTTTGCGACGGCGAGGACCCATCTAATCTGAATAGGACGTCGCTCCGCTGGACCTCCGAGGGGCACGCGACAGTGGCAACACATTCACAGTTCGCACCCCCCAGCGATGGCGATGCTTCCTCTGTTAGTGGCTACAACTTCACAGTTCGCATCCGCGAGAGACGGCGAGGTCCCATCTTATCTGGCTAGGCCATCACTCCACTGGACCCTGGCCCAGCCATCGAAAGTGGCGGGATTGCAGTTCGCAGCCCCTCAGATATCGCAGTCAAGTAGGAGATATGAGGCAGGAGAGAGGAGAAGAAACGATGAGAAGGAGGATGAGGAGGAGGGACGCGGGAAGGAGAGACGCGCCCGCGGTGCTCTGCTCAGAACGAGAACCCGCAGGAGAGTTGGGAACACAATTTCTGCAACTAGCGCGATCATTGGACAACTTGCCAGCGGGGAGCACGGTGGCCTGTCCTGTACTGCGTCTGCCACCCCCATGCCTCTGCTCGTGCGGCCCTCCGCCTCCCACTTCCCACTTGTGATGTAATGGGGGGTCAAAGCGTCCTTGCATATTCTGGGCGCGCTGCTCCTACCAAGCAGAGACCAGCTCGGCGGGCTGAAGTATAACGGGGGGGCCGCAAGGAGACCAGCACGACATGCCTTTGGCTGCGTATCGACGCGTCGTAGGGCAGGCGGGTGCGTCTGGTTACGTGGATGCGTGGGAGGGGGGATGATCATCCTTTTCGTGTCCCTTCGGCTTTCTCCTTCACGCCTTCGTCCTTCTACTCCTCTTCCCCATCCCCTTTCCCTCCCTGCTGCTCCGCTTCACCCTCGAGGTCTTCCCCTCCCCTCCCTGCTGCCCGCTCAGAGAAACGTCTGATCACTCATTCCTGGAAACGATTATGGTCAGCCCGGCGGGCAGGGCGGCGGCGGTAACGAGGGCCCCTCGAAGTTAAACCGCACACACACAGCACAACACAACACAACACAACACAACACACGACACCACACCACACTGCTCCGCTCCGCACCGCACCGCACCGCACCACACCACACCGCACCACACAGTACCACACAACACAACAAAACGCACAGCACACACACACACACACACACGCACACACAGGATCAAGTGTTTCGTAACGATGAAACGCATCAAGACATGCGCACCCCATCGCCCAGACTCGCAGCGGCAGCTAAGAGCACCTTGAAGGCCCTGGCGATCTCGTGGAAGCGTGCGGCATCGCCGCCCTTGTCCGGGTGCTCCGCAAGCGCCCGCTGGCGGTAGGCGACCGTCAGCGCCTTGGCTGGGCAGAGCGTTGAGCCGAAGCTCAGCGCCCCCAAAAGAGGGGAAGCAAAAGGATGAGGAGGGACAACGAGGACGAGCTCGGCAGCGTTGCGCCCAAAATGTCCAGCCCATTTATCACTCATCCGTGCTGGAGAGTGAAGGGCGCAAGATCTTTCATACACGGATTGGGCGTCGTCCCCGAATCGGATTGGATATCTTTCCCATGCGTCCTCTCGCTGGATTCCCATGCTCTGGCGCGCCTGCTGCACTCGTGCGTGGCGCTCTCGAGGTCCGAGTTTGCCTCCCCGATGCCTCTGCCGAGGGGACGTTTATACATTTTCTGCCGCGGTGCTCCGCGTTTGGCCGCTTGGCCGGACATTCACGGGATGGCAGAGTCAAGGGTAGGTCGCTGGCCAGACACAAAGGGAGGCTTTGGTGGCTCCGCAGTGCTGCCCACGATCGTCGCAATGTGCTGGGGCGTGCAATCATCAAACCTCCTTCCTCTTCAGAATGGTCACTGGAACAAGCGGTGGACAGCAATGCCTCAGCCAACAGAGCGGAGATGGAAGCGCGCTGATGCCTTGCAAGAGGGGGGGGGGACGAGCGATGATGCAAACTCGCTGCCATCTTGCCGAATCGGCTCCAGACGCTGGGCGTGGCCCGCAGAAGGCCCACCTGGGCATTGGCACCACCGCCTTGCAGCCCTCGTGGAGCTCTGCTTGCTGGAGAGGGGGCCTCGACCCTCTGGGGAGGGCGCAGGACACCCAATGGCCAACGGCAAGGGACGCGCCTGCTTCTGGGCGAGATGTGGGCGGGGGCGGGGGGCAGCCCTCCCCTGCCCGCCTCGAGGTCCGCCTCGTCGTCGACGCCTAGCAGCTCGTAGTAGCTCGCATCCTCGGAAGGTGCCTGGCGGCGCGCTCGAGGTCGCGGCGCGCACACCGCGCCTGCTGTCACATCAGGGCAACGGGAAGGCGCCCGACTCGCGGGAGGAGGGAGGAGGAACCGGAGGGGGAGGAGGGATGATGAGGAGGAGGCGGCCCGCCTTGCAGCCCTCGTGGAGCTCTGCTTGCTGGAGAGGGGGCCTCGACCCTCTGGGGAGGGCGCAGGACACCCAATGGCCAACGGCAAGGGACGCGCCTGCTTCTGGGCGAGATGTGGGCGGGGGCGGGGGGCAGCCCTCCCCTGCCCGCCTCGAGGTCCGCCTCGTCGTCGACGCCTAGCAGCTCGTAGTAGCTCGCATCCTCGGAAGGTGCCTGGCGGCGCGCTCGAGGTCGCGGCGCGCACACCGCGCCTGCTGTCACATCAGGGCAACGGGAAGGCGCCCGACTCGCGGGAGGAGGGAGGAGGAACCGGAGGGGGAGGAGGGATGATGAGGAGGAGGCGGCCCGAGGAGGCAGGGGAAGGGAGGAGGAGCACGGGGAAGAGGAAGAGGAGCACGGCGAAGAGGGCTTAGAGGATGAGGAGGGGGAGGAGGAAGGGGAGAAGGACGAGGACGAGGGAGTGAGGGGATAATAGAGGGGCGAGGCGAGACAAGACTGGCGGCGGCGGTCGGTTGTCAGCATTCCG